GTTCTGGTTTTTTAACTAATTTGCAGAAAGCAACAAAGAATTCTCAGACTGATACCAACCTATACAGACTGTACTTTATCACTGCTCTGTAGTATAGTGAGGAAAAAGGATAAGATGGAATGAGATAGGGCTATAGAGGTAGGTAGGAGTCACTTCAAGTCCAAATGTGCAGGTGAAGATCAGCTCTTCACTAAAATGCAATAATAGGTAAGTAAAATAAAAAGCCAGGTGACTCCATCGGACCCCTATTCAGAGTTTCACCATCTGAAATGGTACATAGAGAGCAAATAGGCTGCACTGAGGTAGGGATGGGGCATGTTAGGCTCTCCCTTAGACTGACTCAGGAACTAAGTTATTTGCCTACGCACACAACTTAAAAGTGTGTAGTTACAAATCACACATCAATAAATTTGTATAGCATGATCCAGTTATGTGTTTATTTTGCAAAAGCCAAGAGTTACAGCATAGGTTGAAGACGGTGCCCAACGGTATGTTTTGTTTGACAAAATACATTTTTGAGGAAAAGTCAAATTTATTGCCAACATTGAGAAAACTTGAAAATTTTGCAGATCCTGCCTAGTATTCTTACATGAGCCTCTTTGGAAAAGGAATGCACTTAACCAGTACCCACCACTCTTTAATGTTTTGTCTGATGTGTATAATACTTTTGGGTTATGCCGTATAGTGACAATGGCTGAAAAGTCTCAGTGGCTTACTAAAAGCTTTATTTCTGCTCACGCTGCAAGTCGACTGGCTCTGCTTCATGTCATCTTCATTTCAGCACCAGGGAACAGTCTCTGTGGTGCATCACTGGTGTTGAAGTAAGAGGAAAAGGAACATGAAGAGAAATGTGCTAATTCTTAGAGCATTTGCTTTTCTTGCATGGATCAAAGAAATGGTATAACTAACATGATGGCAATGGGGCTGGAAAGTTTAATCCAAGAGAGGAGGAGCCAATAATTTATGTAAGATAACAGTCTACCACAACTCTTTTGTGTAATTTAGATGAACTCCCTAGTTTCCATTGGCATTGGAGAGTATGACTACTGTGGCCTATGGAATTTGAGAATTCAAAGCTTTATCTTAACCAGAAGCATGAGAGTTACTCTAATCTTCCCATACTACTTCTGTCAGCACTACATCTATCCATCAACCTATCTATCCATTCATTTATGTGTCCTTGAATAGGTTAAGATTTCACAGACTTTTCCTCAGATGCCCTTGACTTACTTCATGTTATACTTAGGGTGCACAGACCATGATAATAGTATTAGGGAGCCAGACTTTGCAGCTGCTATATAACTCTGCTCTTTATTGCACCCAAGTATTGACTTCTAGAGGATGGGATGTTCTTTCAGAGTAAGCCATCAGTGTGTACTGCAGCTTAGCTGGAGTCTGGTGAGACTTGAATAGCAAGAACAAGTAAATAATTAGGCATGCAAAGCTGAGTATTTATTACACACCTTTTGTGCACCCAACTCTGCTCTTGGGACTGTGGAAAATAAAGTTCTTATTCTTGAAGATCGAGGAGATGTCCAGAGAAACTATGAAGGATGTAGACTTGTACACTGAGTTGTGTTAATTTGAGTTGCCAGTATGCATTGGCATAGGCAGAAGACTTGGTGATGAGGTCAGAATTAGGTGGAAGTTGAAGTATTGAAGGTAAAAAAAACATTGTGTATGATTTCAAAGATTCAGCTAGTTTCACTAAGATCCAGTCTATGCAAGAGAGATGGATGGGTTTGTATTCTCTTGGAGAGTTGAAGTATCTTTGAAATGTTTGTAAAGCTTTCTATTGACGTGGATGTTCTTGTTGGGACTTGAGTCATTCTTGTGATGAATAACAGGTGTGGTGTGAAGGTGTAGTCTCCACCCTCAGCGACCATGGGACTGTTCATCCTACATTGTCTTCCTTTGTTCTCCAGTTTGCACCACTAAGCATGTGCTGCAGTACTCTTGTTTTCACAAGTCATTCTCTGGTTTCCTATCTTGTTAGTGATGAGGATGAGGACTCTAACCCATGGTTATGAGAAAGATTCTCATATCAGCAAACTGACTGATAATGCTGTATACTTGTGATATTGGTATTTCCAAACCTTATTATTAAGGCTTTGTGGCTAACAAAGAGTAGGAAACTAGAAACAGCTAGTGAAGTATGGTGACACAGGTTGGTCTCTGGTGAGGGAAGTCATTAGAGTCAAAAACTGTGCTTTTCTTATTTCCAGCTTGGTTGAGTCTGTTAAGAAAATGGTACATGTGATGGTACATTTCCCATTTATTTTTTCTTGCCCTCTCATGTTTATTGACTCATTTGTGCATTCAAAAGTATTTATTTCCTTTCGTCTATATACAAGGTTTCATGCACTATTCTAGGTACTATCAATATAATAAAACAGTCCCTGCCATCAGACCACACACAGTCTCACATGAGACCTGCCTGAGCACCTCACATGCTCTGGAGGTCTTGAAATACTATAAAATCATCATTCCCTCCCACCTCTCAAAATTTTGCCCTGGTTTGAATTAGATGTCAGTTGAGGATAGCAGGGAAAATTAAATAAGGAGCTCACTTATTTTTCTGGGATTATCAATAGGAAGTTCCAAGGTGGCCTTGGAGAAAAAAAAATCCTCATAGTTCTTGGCTTCTGGTCTCCCTCCTGTGGCCTACTAGTTCTCACTGCATGTTTATCTCAACTTTACATTGGCATCCCTTTGGAATGAGTCCTGGGGGGTCCTGTTGGAAACGCAATCTCAGATGATTTATTCCCTAACTCAGGAAGCACCAAGGAATAGTAAATTTTCTTTATAGTAGGCCCACCAAGTTGTACATATTATACATAGAACTCAGTTGTTGAGTATAGGAAATATAAATTTCATATTGCTCTATATTGAATATCTGCATTTAATTTTACTAGAGAAATGAAAAGTTACTGGGCCTATTACTAAGTATGCTTTGTCATTGTACATATTTAGTCAGGTCACTGTAAGTTTACCACTGCCTTTTCTCTATTGTGAAAAGAACTCTTGTACAGTATAGCTCAAATGTTAATCTTAGAAATGTTTACTTCTGAACTACTTACCCTCAATTCATGAGAGAGAAGCAGTGCTATATGATGAGGAAATTATGTACCTTTTACTATACCAGTTCCTCTTTAACAAATCAAAATACCAAGACACACCCAGAGAGGACATTAGCTTTTGGATCAAGCGTTCTTCAGAGACTTGAAGGATGAGTCTGCAATTTATGTTTGGGCTTCTCAAGTATCTCTGCTGCACAGCCAAACACAATCTGTCCCTCATAAAAATAAGGGTAAGCTAAGAACTTTCATATTTGTCTTAGCAAAAAGCCTCATTCTTTATTGGAACCCCAAGAGGATACCAAATGAACATGGTGGAACATCAGAATGCCAAAGACAGACCTTATTGACAGGAAAGAAAGATGGCTGCCTTTATATTCAGTGAAAAACTAGATCCTTCTTAGAAATGGTAAAATAACCTTGCACAGTCAGTGTACTGCCCTAAGTTGGCAAATATAACATTTTAATAATGTTATATTAAATAACATTTAATATACTATTAATAATATAATACATTTTAATTTGACAAACTCAAGAATTTGGTAGGAATATAAAGTTGAAAACCAGAACAAATATCAACTGTCTGTCAATTGCAGTTCATTATTTTTTAAGCAATGCCAATCAAGGAGAAACTTACATTTTTATAAGCCACGAAGCTGAAGGTACATATGCTCCCATTCAGTCCATTTATACATATATTAATATATACACATACACATATTTATAGTCAAATAAATATTTGATTATACTGTTTTGGATATTTCCCTAGGTAAATTTATGAACTTTTGCTAGACCAGAAGTTCAGCCCATCACATATCCCTAAGATCAAATTTTAATTTCACTTAGAAATACGTACTTCTTAACTATCCTTAATCTATGAAAGAGGTAGTGACATTTAATGAAGAAATTATATGCATTTTCATATGCCATAAAACCTAGTGCTTAGACAAGTCACTGAGTTTCTAATTCAGATAAAAATCTTTCAGTCAAGGACTGAGTCAAAGTCATAGCTATTAGATGGGAAGTTAGGATACCTGGCTTTTGGGCAAATTTTCTTTTTAACCTTTCAGGGTTAAAGATGCATATAAGATGACTTGGGTGCAGAGAGGGGTGCTTTTCATTTCCTTGGGACACTGCAAGTACACTCTAACCTCACTCTTTATGCAAAGCATGTTTTCTATACATATGCTCTGCATTGACATTGAACCCTTACTGGAGCAACTCATCTCATTTGTCAATGATTGTTAGTGAGCTAGCAATCTAGGATATTGCAAAATGGTTCTAAGCATTCATTTGCTATTTATATGGGAACTACTAGTACCACAGATTGTACCTACCTCATAAAGTGGTTGTGAGGACTAAGAGAATTAATAAACGCAATGTACAATAGTTTGTTACATGCGGGCATTCCAATTTTCTGATGACAGTTGTACACCACTACTATACTCCAGGCTCTTGACTGGAATGATAACAAATAGCCATGTTCTTGGCCCCTGTCAAACATATCATGTAGTGTGGTGTGAGGATGATAAACCCCAATGCTTTCAGGCCAGTGAATGCACACAGATGTAGGTGCAGCTGGGATCGGGGTGCTCGGAGACCATATGCCTGGCTGCAGAGGGCAGGGACAACACCATCCCTGAGAATGGCTTAATGTGGCCAAATCTTTCTTAAGAGAAGTGAGAAACCCAGGGCTCCCTGGTGGCACAGAGGTTGTCTTAGCACTACCACCTCTTTGGTGCAAGTTTGATCCCAGGCTAAGAGCTAACCCACATAGCTCAGCAGATCTCTCCTGTGTTACCACTGCTCCCCTCAGCAGTGTTCAGTAGATCCACCCGTTCTACTCCCCACTCTTTCCTGCACCTCTGGCCTACACGGCAGCTTTTCTATGCATAAATAAATCTTTAAAAAAAAAAGGTGAGAAATCTGCAGACTTAGGAGCACTGACAATGAATGTTAGTTTAAAAAGCAACAAATACTTTATGGGTTAAAAGCCACTTCAAAAAGAGTGGTTCTTGGAGATGCCAAAGAATAACTTTTAGACTGGCCAGCTGTTAAAACCCTAATTCCCCTCTTTTGGGGAGCAGCCCAACCAGATGTGTCAAAGTTTGCTTGCAGATTTTAATTGTCAATTTTTCCACAAAATGCACAGAATTTATGTAAATTGGAGTAGTGCAAGGAAGAATTGAATGCTTAGGAGTGTCTATCTCCCTCTGTGACCACTCAGGCTAAGGCAGGAAGAGGACTGGGCCAGGCAGGGCTCATTGTGACAGGGTCAGACAATCACCTTTAGCCAGAGAACACAGGACACTGTAGAGCACAGACGGGCGAAGAGTTTAACACAATTTATTTTATGCTTAAATAATTGACTAGGTCATCCAGTGTATGGTTTTTCATACATATGTCATTAGAGCTATGTATCAATGAATGCTGATTTTATATGAATAGAATCAACAAATTAAAGAATTTCACCAAAACCCAAATAAAAATGCCCTTAAAAACACAGCAGCCTTATTAACCTAATATGACACTGCTAGAATGGTTACAAATGATTGGCTTACTGAAAGGTGTCTACATCTTATAGCCAGTACACGATACAGTATTAATTTTACAGCGTGCTGCCATTCTACTAGCTAAGGATTTCTGTTCAGTCCATTTTAATTACCCCCAAAGGGGGCCTCCTATGAGCACCATCCACCTCTAAAGCGGCAAGCATTACCCCCTTTTAAGCACTAACAGATAGCATCCCCCCACCCCCTAAAGCAACTACTGTATTCAGTTTTTTTTTTTTCATTTTTAGGTCATTTCATTGAAAAATTGGCAATAGCAACAAATATTAGATGAAGGGCTTTGTGTTTACAGATAAAATCTTCTGTGTTGCAGTATACTGTAGTGTTTGCAAAATTGGAAAAGATTTAATCAAAATAAGGTGATACACATGCATCAAAATATTAGTATTCTGAAGAAAAATTTTTTCACAGAACTACAGAATTCCTCATTTTGGGAATTATTTAAATTTGCAGCAGATTTTAAAGTTTTTTTTTTTTTTTAAAATCAAGCTAGCAGTTTTGCATATACAAACATTATAATTGCTAATATACAAGAATCAGTGAAGATCCCCCCATCCCAAACCCCTCCCTCCTCTTCTAGTGAAGTCACTCGAGACCCTATTATGTTAAATGCATTTGCAATATTCTGTTTGTGTTCTAAGAGGCAGTGCCTTATCAACATTTATTCTATTTTTCTGTTAGAATTTATACAGTGTTATTATTTACAGCAAAACTATAGATGTTTTAAAAAAGAAACAAATAGTGTTTATACCCTGACAGTTTGGGTCCAAGAAAAATAAGGCGAGAGCTGTTGTGGATTTAGTAATTTTAGTGTTTCTCTGTGATTTGATCATCATTCCATCTCCTTCTGTCCCATCTGACGGCAGGAATTTCTTCCTTTTGTAAAATGACACCAAATTACTTGAGATAAACTGTTAACAGCATGGCTTCTTGTATATACACTGCATTGCTATTTGCACACGTGCCAATCCTGGGAATGAAAGTGAATTTCCATGCTCTGTAAATTGGCTCATGCTAAATTAAAATGTGGGTAGTTTTCTTTTTCTTTTTTCCTTTTTGCATAAAAAAATCATGCCATTAATGTGTGGAAGCAGCAAATACACACACCCTCCTCTGTGACTTTATACTTCCTGCTGACATCTTCCACAAATTTCTCAATACTGGCAGTAAAATTCCATGATCCTGTGGAAAAAGAGACAGCAGGTAATGAGATTTTTTTTTATCTTTAAAAGAGAACTTGCCTAAGTCTTTCATTCAAAAGAAAAGTGTGAGAAGGGGGACCTCTACTTCCTTATAGCAGTTTTATCAAGATGCTTTGATTAGGGTTACATTCTTGGTTCTGGTGGCTCAGCCTGAAAGACCCCCTCTGGGTCTGTTTCTGATACTCACTTTACCCTCTCAGGTATTTGGTACATTTACAGCTCTTTGGGCCTCAGGCTTAACTGTAAAATAAGGAGGCTGACAGAGGTGTTGAAACTTCCACCAATATAAAAAAGTCAGGGGTATGAGGTTTTCATGGGCACAAAGGGCCAGGTATCTGGAGTCAAAATATAGCACCTCAGTCAGGTCTGTATGTTTTATAATGTCCCCATTCCCCTTCCTCAAATGCAGATCACCTTTCAAAAAAGGGAAAGCACTGATATCATTATGAAAATGCTTTTCCATATGCAAATTAAAATAAGACTATCTCCTGTTATGGCCAAGATTACTTTTCTTTCTGTTCCACATAAGTCATGAAAGGATAAATTTTATTTGAGCTTTTTAATAAATGTTCCACTAAGAATATCTTGTCATACTGGATAAAACCTGCAAAGTATCAGTGTTTTATAGCCAGTCTTAATATGTCAACATAAGTCACTATTCTTTATCAGGTGTTCTCATTTTCATAAAGTATTGTTCTTGGTATGAACTTTTTCCATAAAACAAAGCTCTTCCTATTTATAAGTCCTTCTTCTTGTTCAGTATGAAAGGTGACTTTTCACCTTTCACATATTTTAACTTAAATAAATGCCTGCCCAAGAACAAGACTTAGTCCCATAGAAAGCCTGAGTGAGGCAAGAACAGTTTAAGGAACAACCCTGTTGGCTCACAGGGTGAGCCACACCGACTATTTTGCAGGTCTAGAAAAACCTTTAGAATTTTGCTTCCTGGGGGGGGGGGGGGGGTGTCGAGGGCAAGAGTGTTCCCAATGACCTTAGATTGGTTTACCTAGCCCAGACAAGTTTCTTTCTCTTTAGATGGGCCACCCAGGATACCTTTGCTTATGTAAACATGTTAGTACAGCACTTCCTCTGCCCACTGCAGTTCGGGCTTCCTTTTTTGTTTTAGAAGTGCTACTGGCCTCTGTGCCCCAGCTCACTACTGTTGAGAGCCAAGAACATCAAAGTATCAATTCCTTCTGGAGTGATTTCAACACCTGCCCTCTTCCCACAACTCTGCAGAAGTTTCAGAGAAGTGACCTGATTCCTTTGGTCAGGCTACAGCCCAAAAGGTGGGCAAATCAGAGTAAGAAGATCATGGTTTTCTCACCTCCATGTTTCCCTTCTATTCCTAATCCTCCAGGCACCAGGCTTCTTAGATGGCCCTGTGACAGTTTCCATAGTACTTTCCATCTATTTTCTTAGGGAGAATTGTCAGCAATTTTTTCTAGTTGAGTACCTCCCTCTTTTTAAACTTAACTGCCACGCAACACATCTAATGTAAATACATAGTTTGGTAACTCAGCAAATTCATAGAGCTGTGCAATCAATCACTACAGCCCAGTTGAACCTTTTTTTGTTGCTTCATTTCTTCCAAAAACCAATCCATCTCCCCAGGTTCATCTTGCAGTAAGAAATAGGTCTTTCTCTTATCACCTTAATGCAAGTGAACATTATCATTATAAATTTTTTAGATTTTAGAAATAGTGGAAATATTTCCGTAATTTAAAAAATGCTATTAAAAATGCCCATTTTATATTTAGGTATAACTTGGGGATGAGTTTAAAATCAAGTTGGGAGTTCTTATAAATCTCTCTTGCTCCTAGTCCTAGTCATGCAATCAGTGTGTTGGCCCCACCCTCAGGATTGCAGGAAGTTCATTCATTGAGAGAAGACATCAGGTAAGTTTGGTGTTACACAAAAACATGAGAGCCTGGGCTGAGTGAATGTATGGCTATTATAAAATACTGACACTGGACAAACTGTGATGAGGGCGCCATCTGATGGGAAAATGTGAGGGCAGGAGCTATCAAGACAACATGCAGAAATAGAATGAGTCCTGTTCCTTTTCTGGGTTTAGATAATGAATCTGAGACAGAAGTATTTGCATTCACGAATCAGCCTGCTTTTGGTTTTTGCATGTCTTTCAAACCCAAAGGTAGTAGAAGCCAACACAAAACCAATCACTCCTTTTAGTCATGTCACTATAATTTTTTAAGGAACATTTTAAAATATAAAAAACAACTATTCAATGGATTCTCATGTTTGTTTATAGTTCACAGATGAATGTTGTACTTTCCACTTTACATTTCTAAGCTAGAACTATGCTTTAGTTAAAACCAACCTTTCCCTTTATAGGGACAAACTGTGGATATATCAGTATTTTTTTTTTTTTTAATTTTCTAGTGCTTAGCTTAAAAAAAAAAAAGTCTTTAGCTTGGTGTCTCAAGCTTTCTTCATTTCAACCCAATGAATGATTTCAAGAGTGATAGCCACTTTTCTACACTGAGAAGCTTTGTTTCACAGTCTCCAGTGGCTCCCACCCATAGTTACATATTTGAGTAATCTAGGGAGATTACAAAAAATCCCATACTAGTTCATTTACAATTTCTTGGGAGGAGGGTGGCCATGGCATCAAAAAATTTCAAAAAAATAAATTCTAGATGACACCAATGTCCAGTCAAGCTTAAGAGCCAGTGATGTGTCTGGGACAGTGCTTCTCCAGGTTTAAAGTGCATGCATATCATCTAGGCACCCTCAAGTGTGAATTTTGACTCAGTAGACTGCAGTAGGACCAGAGATTCTATAATTGGAGTGCAGGAATGGTGGCCCATGCCAGTCATCAACCCACTGGTTCCCAACTTCCTTTTCTTTGCTCATGACTTTTTTATCCACCTATATATTATATCCACTATACTTCCTCTATAACTCTGTTCTTTAAGTTAATTTCAAATGCCTCTGTTACAGCTTAAGGAAAATGTTTTCTCACATGCTTTCCCTACAGCTCACTAAGAACATGTAATTCATAATGATAGTTCCTTTCTCGTAGCCCTGTGCAATTATTAAAACAGGTATTCTCTTTGCTTTACTAATGATAATAGCAAAATTCTGTAATGAATGACAGGTCTAGATTTTAACCTAGATCCCCTGATTCTGTCTCCAGGAAGTCAGAGCTATAACCTGACTTGCTTCCCTCCAAATTCAGAACCCTTCCTGTGCCCCTACCCCACCAGAATTAATTCTAATTACTTTTTGTAATCCTAATGTAATTTAAAAATAATTTCCAGTTCATGTAGGGTTGTTCTTCAGTTAATACCAGTAAGTGGGTGTAATTTGTTCTTTTCTAGCAAAATGTGATTTAAAAAAAGGGAAAATGCTAGTTTATATTTTGGCAGTGAAAGAAAAACATTGACACTGATAAGAATAAAGTTGGAAAGTTATTTTTATGTGGCAGGCATTTCTATAAAGTGGATTAATACATTCACTCCTAATAAAAATGAGGTACTGTTGTTTCTATCATGTTATAGAAGAGGAAATAGTGGCAGAGGCAGACCTGTAAGCCAACACCACACTCTAGGATCCTTGTTCTTCACCTTGAAGTCAAGGCTTCTGGTTGTGCTTTTTTTTTTTTTTTTTTTTTAAAGAATGAAACAAATCAAGGAAAACATGACATATAACCATATATACCCTAAATTAATTCCAGAAAAATATTCGGTGTGGCCAGGAAGAATCCTGCATTTGGAATGAAGCTATTCAGGTCATAGCTCTGACTTCCTGAAGGCAAAATCAGGGAATCTAGGTTAAAATCTAGGCCTGTCATTCATTACAGGATTTTACTGTTTTCATTAGTAAAGGAATGAGACTACCTGCTTTAATAGTGCACAGGGCAACAATGAGAAACCAGTGATAAAAATTAATTGAAGGTGTTCGGAAGTGTATGCCAAGAACATATGCAGATTTGCTGCTGTTCTGATTTGCCCACTGTAATGTTCCAGCTTCCCTGGATGCTGCTGCTTACTTCACTGGTCCCTGTAATCAAAGTTCTTCCAGGGAGATTTTCTTGCCTCTCTTGATATTATTAATAGTTGGACTTACTAAGTGCTTACTATGGACCTTCCGGCCATTTTTTAAAGGAAATTTATGTGGATGAACTCATTTAATTCTAACAAGTCAGTGAGAAAGGCATTGTGTGCCAAAACTCAGTAATATTCCTGACAATTTCATCCACTCAGGCCACTTGCCTTCTCACCCTGATGCCAAAAATGACCACACTAAGATGTGCCCTGACTTCTCAAGTCATTGACAAATAGTGAGGGCATTGCAAACTGAATATCCATAAAGCTGCTTCAGGCTACCTCAAATCCTAGTTTTGGGGGGTAGGTGGTGGGGAGTCTTAGGTTCCTTGTTTTTTATTAGTATCAGGGTTACTGCCTTTCATGTAATCACTATCTTTAACCCTTATTCCTTATATATATAATTCATATATATAGAATTCATTTGGTAGCTATATTTTGAAAATGTTCCTCAAATCTGTCCTTTCTGCTGCAATGCTGGCCCTTACCTTGTAACTGAGGTCTAGTGTTCAAACTCTTCTGCACTAACTCCATCTTATTTCCATGAAGGTTACCTAAATCATACCTGATCATGTTATTCTCCTACACAAAACTTCCAGTGGTACCCCACTGTCTCCAGGATAAAGTCCTGAGCACACCACCTAAGATCACGCACTGCCCTGTATCAAACTACTCTTTCTTCAAATGCCAATTCAAATACCCATTTCCAAGAATGAAGTGAGTTGACTTTTCGGTTTCAGACTAAGGTGCTGGCCCTGGGAAGCATGCACACTATTACCACTCCCAGCTTCCATATGGTGTGAGATCCTAGACATTTCTGCAAGGGAGGTTTGAAATACAGATATTCCAGTTGTCATGACTTCTAGCTGGGACACTCTTCTTACTATATAGCCTCAATTATCAGCACTGTAATAGTATTTTCGAAGTAAACATTTGAAGATTATGGCTATCTTAAAAATGACTGTGTGCTGTAAGAACAAAAAACTGAGTATTTACATTGTGTAGTATATGAAGAAATTTACTTCAGGTTGCCTTTGTACATCTATTGGATTTGAAATTTGCTTTTAGGTCTCTAAGAATCACTAAATAGTATATATATTAATGAGTAAGAGTTAAAGAGATAAATTCTGGAGAAGTTCAAATGTCATTATTTTCTTCACCAGCTTTAGGACTTTCGTAAGTCACTTTTCTAAACTTCAGTTTCCTCATTTATAGAAGAAAGATAGCACTACTTACCACATAGCATTATTTGGGGGATTATGCAAGGTAAATATAAGTAATGCTCTCACCTCATACCTGGCTGATAATTGCCATCATCTAACAAATGATTATTGTTCATAAATAATTTTGGCAAGACAGATAAGTATATTAGGCAGGGTATCTGGCAGAGTATCAATAACCTTGAGTTCATGTACTAGCTCTAACTATTGACAAGTAGCTGTGAGATAGTAGAAATTTCATCTGATCTGAGCATTAGTGTCCTCATCTCTTAAAAGAGGAAAACCAAATTGACTTGATGGGACTATGACTTGTTCAAAGGATTAAATAGAACACAAAGGTAAAAAGCACCTACAAATCACCATGTACTATGTATAAATCTTCATAGTTATTTTAAGACATTGGCTTTCCCCTCACATTAAAAATAGGATGGTTGTGACTCAGTACTAAAGAACAGGCTTCAATATAGCTCAAAAATCCAACTGGTTCTAAAATGGGAAATAAAAATTTTGATGCCACCATCTGAGACAAAGTTTGGCAGCATTCCTCTATGTTAGCTGTTCTTACAAAAAAAAAAAAAAAAAAAAAAAAGGCAGGGCTCTTAAAATCAATGTATTTGCAAATAGATTTTTTTCCACAGCTTATATTCAATGCCCTGGAATTCCAGGCTGTATTCTGTGACTCATTTCCTCAGTTCACTTACGGAAGATAAACACCTGGAGAGTAAACTGTGGCAGTTTGTTCTCTGATGGCCACAAAGAATATGAGATGTGAAATTTGGTTTATGCTGGATTTATCTTCACATTTATATGAATTCTACTCAAGTTTTCTTCTCCTTTAAATGGTGTAGAAAGGGAGCCAAGGTCCTGACAATCACTTCGCAGGGTGGATTATTTATAATCTCAAAGTCTCTGGTATATTTAGTGATGAAGTCATTCCTATATTAATACCCCCTAATGGACCCTGGCAGCAATAGCACTGGCATGTATATTTTGGTGTCATATATTGCTAAATATAGATATGTGCTAAGTTGCTAATCTTTTAGGAGCATACTACAGTTGACTGAACTCTTCTTCTATCACTTAGAATTGCTTAAATTGACTAATTTAAGACAGCAAACTCATTCTTAGTATTAATCTGCTATACACACAGGTTTAGCAGTCAGACATGCATAATAGGAGGGTTCTTTCTAGATGCTGTTAAAGGTAATACCAGTTTAAGTTTCTCATTTCTCACCCTTGTCATCCAGTAAAAAGCAAGTCATTTCAAGGTCTCTTGCTTCATCCTACCTCTTAATATCCCCCCTGCTTCTGCCATAGTTTCTTAATAATCTTTCTGCATGCCCATTATTGCCAATTCCAATTCATTCTGTGCACTAAAGTTAGTGAATGACATAGAACATTAATTGAATCATATCCCTTGCCTAAAAACCTTTCAGGGATTCCTGTGACTTTTAGTATGAAGATCAGAATCTGTACAGAGGCTCGTGAAGCACAAATATTTTGATCTCTCCCACTTTTCCACACTCAGTGACAAAAGTCTCCTCCCAGACAATGGCCTGTTCTCACAGTTCCTCCTTTGATGTTTCTACCTACTTTGGGCTTTGCAGAATGCTATTGCCTATGCCTACAAGACTATCAAAAATACCATCACAAAATTCCCACCACTTACCAGAAGAATCCTTATTCTTCCTTTGAAACTCAGTTTAAATATCACTTTCTCAAGAAAACATCCCCTCTCACAGCAGACCCAGGTCAAATCTCCAGTTAATGTGGTTAAAAGTGTGGACTCTGGGGGCAGCCTGTTAGGGGTTGTATATTCTACCACTTTTATTTATGTGGCCTTAGGCAATTTGTGGCCTGTTTCCTCACCTATTAGATGGGGATGATAGAGGCACCTATCAAAGAGGCTTGGTTGTGAAAATTAAGAGCACATGGGAAAACACTGGGGAGATCATATATACTTAAATATTTCCAGAGTACTCTGTAACTTAGTTTTCTCGCCATAATATTAGTTATGATTAAATCTCCAAATGCATATTTGTGCCACAGAAATGTTGTTTACCAATGATTTCTCAGTCCTTTTCTTCAGCATTCCAAATACCATGATGCTGGTAATTGGGCAACAGCACATGTATAAAAGTGAAAACTGGAATCTATTTGCTCTTTGTTATTTTGACTTATGAGGCTTAGAAAATTGTTGAAAAGCCCTAAAATCATCCTGCTTTACCTTACAGACTTACAGAGAACTTTTCAAAGCTCTATTTGCTTTTTCACCCCAGTGGCCTTTCTAATTGTAGGCTATGTAAAAAGAAATAGGACAGAGTAAAATTTAGAGAAAATAATGTCAAAGGAAAATACTCTTATTTATGAAGAAAAATTTAGACAAATTTAAACAAAATTCACTAAACTTTTAACAAAAGGATTATGAGTAACCTCCAGTTTAATTTGCTTTGGTTTGTATGAAATTTATAAAGTTGTAGACAGGGATTTCAGGCCTTCAAATTTAGAAACCATTGTTGTATTTAAGAAAATAATTTTCATTGCTATTCTGCCAAAATGATGAAAGACCATACCCATGCAAATCTCAGAGTAGTGCATCTGTAAGAATTATTTGTTACCAAATAGTCTTGCTGTTACATTGTATAATGCTATTGCTACTGAGCCTTTATCTTAGTAAAGCCTCAAAAATCACTATTTACATTTGCTTCTGCAAACATCATCTATATTTTAATTCCTGACTAATTTTTAGGGAAAAATTTATGGGTTATGACCTAGAGTCAAGTTTTAGTGTACATATGCACACATACATAAACTCCAAGGATTTCCTATTGGATATTCAAAGCTGTTCTACTGTCACGAGCACACATACCTTGACTGTTCCTGTTACGAGTGGCTCTTCTTTTCCACATGTCGGATTTCTTTCTTCGTCTTCACCTTAAAACCTTCTCCCTGCTTTAAAAAGAATATACATTAAGATTTCATGGGAAAGGAGTGTTATTTATAAAGCAGTTTTCACTCTGGTCTCTTCAGGCTGGATTAGGGTAAGTGAAACACTGTTTAAAACACTTTGTCACTTCATGTCCAAAAATACATACAGTCCGTTGGTTTTGACCACACAGCATAGCATCATCAAGGCAAGCTAGAGCATGGTCAGAATGAACACAACATTAACTGTACTTCACAGTAATTCAGTAGGTTAGTGATAAATGGAAAGAATGAGCAGCCTGTTCATTTCCAATAGTAAGCTGGAAGAAATCATCAGTTTAGCATTCAAGACATTCAAACCCCAGCTACTAAATATATTAGTAAACTATAATTTATGCCTTTTTAAAGCCAGCAGTTTTAAGTCATTTGTTGTAAAGAGACTGAAATTTCTCAGTGAGGCACTGATCGTGAACTAAACACCATGGGGATGCTGTTGATCTGAGGGCTTAAAAAATTTAAATTTGTGGAATTACCAACCCTCTCCATTTAATCCAGTCCAAGCAGGCATCCATTTCCCCTTAAACCAGACCTCTCTGCACTGAGCACCAGGGCCATCCTTTTCTGAGAGCAAAACTACCAAATATCAGTTTAAGATGGAAAATATAGTAGCCTTTTCAATGTTCAGATTTAGTCCTGAGAAATTTTTAGTTCCCTTTATTCTTATGTAAACACAGGCTATTGAATTTTCTATTTTTAAAATGAAAAGAGTAACAATCTAAAAAGAGGAAAGAAATGAAAAATAACCAGAGATGTTTTCTCTAGGAGATGGAGATTCAGTTGCTGAGTTATACTACTCAATGATAACTTTGGGTCTTTAACTGACACAGTGTTGATATACTGTTATAAACCCAAAGAGGGGAATACAAACTTCCCCGAGGACTATGAGTGTGTTGGTGATAGGTGTGGTAACAGACACCTGAAGAGATGAAACTTTTACTTCTGACGCATATAGAGTGTTATAAACTAGTTACCTTAATAAACAATTAGTTTTTAAAAGCCATAAAATATTAGATTTGATGTAAGCTGAACTGAGCATTTTGCCTTTCTACTGAATAAACTCTGCACATTTGTTCTTTGTGTCCCAGGCAGGTGCTTGACTTCAGGTAAAACACAGGGAGGGGCCAGGCCACTGCCAAGGGGCTTGATGGTGTACAGGGGTTTTTTATTTTCTCTTAAGCACTTGAACCAAAAGGTTCTAACTATCACAAATGAACTTATTTATGTGAAAACTATGAAGATAGTAAAAATATTTAACATAAAAGAATGTTAGCAAGAATTCTTTTTCTTTGGTCCTGATCAAATGCCTATGATGTCAAAAGCAGCAAGATGCTTTAAGCTGTCACACCACAGATGCCAGCCCATTAGCAGCATTTTCTAGAGTTCACAAATCTTTTATCCTCTCCTTTCTCTTTGGCAGTCCCTTGCCATTACCACGTCAGCATGTTTTCTTTCTTGCGGGATAACAATTCGTCTTAATACTTTCCGAGTGATCTGTAGAAAGCAATAGTGAAAAGTAGAGGTTTTTTCTGTCTTCAATTTCAAGAGGCAGCACTACATTAAACAAAGAGCAGAGAAGCTATATTCCAAGAGAAACATGAAATCCCAATGACGATTACTTTTCTGGTGATGAGGGTGCCTTCTTCATCAGTAAATTGTTCTTCTGTGACAGATTCACCAGGAATGGTTTTTGCTTCCTCTCCCTAAAGGAGGTGGCATAGAGATTAGCAACATCCTAAATGGACAGATCTCCACACCACTCCATACACCACACACATGCTCTGTGGAACTGTAGGTGGTATAAATTCTTCTACTCCAGTGCAAGTAGACAAGACTAACTCCACTGCTGGTTATCTAATGGTCAAGGGTATTCAAAGCTTTGACCTTCAAGTACATAAGATTGATGTTAGTAACACACTCCAAGGAGGAAGAATTTGAAAATGGGCAATTAGAGGATGGAGTTGCATGCTGATGTACATACCAGAAGGTTTCATTTGTTGGGGAAAATAATCCGACCAATGAACAGAGAGCTGATTTGATCAACTTTGAGTATAGTGTTTCTTAATCCCACCAGATCTTTTTTATTTTTGTGGAGTGCATTGTCTAACTTCAGTTTAGTTAGAATCTTATTTGGGGCATTATATTTATTTATTTATTTATTTTTTAAATAATAAATTTTATTTTTATATTCCCCCATACAATTGCAAACGCCCCATTCTGACCCCAATCCTTCCCCTCCCGCCCCCCACCCCCCAAAAAGTGTCTCTGGTTCATAGTTTTTTGTTGATTTTGATTTTCACTTTCTTATATCTAGAAAACTTAAATAAGGGACCAGGCATTATATTTATTACCATTTGTTTCATTTAAGAATTGCTAAGGATAATACTTGTTTTTGAAGTGCTATCAGAAAAGTTCAGTGTTGAAAGAAAATCTTATTTTTTAGACTGAGTCTTTCAAGCTCTTAAAATAAAATAATGATCTTCAAGTGAAGGGGCCCTATGTGACCACTGATTAAAGATAAAATCAGTGTTAAAGGTATTTATTATCTTTCAGCTAGTGACTGGTATCTGATTTATAGGGGAAACTGTTAAAGGTATTCTCTGGTCATTTTAAAAAACAGTATAAATTCTTAACTCACCAAGTTGGAACCTTACTTTCTTGCATTATAGAGCTTGGTAGATTTAGATGACTCCTGAATTATCTTTCTATTAGCTCTCTGATTATATACTAAGAAAAACCACCCAGACTATAAAAATAGGAGTGCATTTGCAATACATTATATTCTTAACTGGTGATCAACCTTGGGTTAGTGCTGCATACAATTTTGAGGAACAAGGATAAACACCTTATGTTCAGATCTATTCTAGGGATGGACTGTTTGTCAAACGTGTTGAAAAGGTTACTTGGATAATGCTACAATGCAGTGTGCTGTTAATATTGTGAGAACCTGTAGGTTTTGTTTAAGTTAAAATGGTTGATCCTAGAAAGAAACCATCTGCATTTCGGGGAGGCCAGGTTTCTAACTGTGTTATTTAAAGGAAAAGCATAGTAGCTCCGATAACTTTGTCAGTGCGAGCCAATGGTGAGAAAATTCTGATTGCTGTATGTCACAACCAATAAAAAGGCAGTTTTGGTACCTTGTTTTGCTAAAAATATTTTTTTTCCCCTCAAAGTGACATGTGACCCATTCTTATGGCATGTAGGTTCATAGATGTAAGACAATGGGTGGGGCATATGACTCATTTTATCTCACTGTGGTATAGGTGGGAAGAAGGTAAAACATGTTTGTTGCTGCTCATGTTAATTCTGAATCTTGCTTATGATTAGTTTCAATAAAGCATAGTTAAAAGACAGAAGGAAATTGGAAAAATCTAGATGCCTACAAGCACTGAAGTCAAATATAGCAGAAAGTCACAAAAAGTCATAGAAGGTTTCACTATGCTACTAGCAATGTCCTGATGTTTGAATGTTAGACACTTCAGGAATCTCAGAAAAATCCAATAAAATAGAATTCCATTGGGTATAAATTGCCCCTTTTGTGGGAAAAGGTCAATTTTTAAATTGGACTGTTTTCAAAAGTGAAGTACATATATTTATATGCATAGTGAATGCATATGAATATATTTAATATAGTAAAAATCTTAGAAAAAAGGAAGCCCTGCTTATAAATAACAATTCTTATAGGTTGTTAGATCTACTCTGTATGTAGGCATTTCACCACTTCCTACTGAAACTTCATAACATTAATGCATAAAGATAAATTTCTTAACTTTAAAATTATGAAATAGTCATTTAGTACTTTAATCATGCCAAAATAGCTTCAAAATGATTATGTAGAAACTCAATAAATTGGGGAGTGGATTAAACAGAAGGTGGTTAGATGGGAAATTAAATGTAATTTTAAAATGTTTATTTAAATTAAACATGAATGAATTTTTAAAATCTATCACATACCAGATGTTACAAGGAAAGCTCTTTGGAGACTCTTTTATGAGAGTAAAATTAGTTTCTAAAGTTCTTAAAAAATAGTGTGCAGTCTTAAATAAACACAATTTCTCCCTGGGTTTTATTGATGGCATTTTATCTAGCAACACCTCCTGCCTACTTTTTTCTTTCCTATCTCAAAGGAAAATTACAACACCTATGGTGTCACATTTATCAGCCCTGGTGGCCACCTTAATGAGACTAAATGTACTTGTCTCTGGACTCCTGCTGGAAGCATTGCATTTAATAATTTACATTCCTTTCCTTGAATTTTTAAACATAAAGAATAACAGTATGAAAAGCCAATTTGCTTTGATGCATACACTTGAACTTTCCAAAACTGGGACACTAAGGATGTATATAGTATAATCCATTTTTATATTCTGAAAAATAAACCTGCTGGGGATATGTGTGTATATGCAGATACATTTTATATACCTAAGCATATTTAAATATGTATGTAAAAACAATCTGCAAGTTTGTGAACAGGGTTAACTCTGGGAAATGGAGTGGGTAAATAGAACTTTATATACTTTCAAATTACTTCTTTGGGGAAAACAAACTTATTTGGAAAGTCACTAAAGAAGTTTAAAAATAGAAATAAAAACACAGTTTAGCTCTACAGTAACTGTTTTTACCTTTCGCTGAATTTGCTAAGCAAATAAGTAAACAAGTTCACAGGACTGGTTAATATACTTAAAAAAATTGCTTCCAAGCACATGAAACTACTATATTATTAAATTATATAGAAATAAATGAATATGTGACAAAAATTTAAAATCCAAAATGAGTTTGTTGACTCATTCCACACTGATTTGAAATATATGTAAAGTAAAAATGAATTTTATAAAAAGATGAATCCACATATGAAACTGAAGTGAAAAACATATAAAATTATACTTTCATCCTATTTATTATACTACCTGAGTGATTAAGATGACAGATTTGCCTAGACTTGTGGTAATGGAACCCTGAGCACACCTTGT